AAAAACCTCCAGGGCCTCAGCCAATCTACCCTGGAGGAAAATTCCTTCCCGACCCCAAATATGGCAATCAGTAAGACCCCGAGCATGTAGGCAAGAGTCTCCAGCCTGACCCTTGTTAGTCATTATACTATTTACCTGCTGCAGTGAGTGTAGGCATAGACAATTGTAGACAAGGTCTTGCAGAGAGGTTTTGGTAACATGTCATAGCCACCACTGCCTTTGTGGCATGCTGGGTTAATCTACTAAGATTTTGCCTGTGGTGGACTTGCCTTCTGGTTTTGGTGACGTTTGAAAAATATGCTTGGTGATTTTGTCCTACTCCCCGTTCAATTGCATCAGAAAACCACTACAAGACTGACAGCCTCAGCTGAAGAGGCCTGAGATTGGAACAGCAGGAATGTTCTATGTCAGGACTGAGCTGCGTTAGCAAAGCTTTGTGCATAGTGCTTACTCAAAAGCCAATGCTTTAGTCTCTCAATTTCATCAGCATAATATTTAGGGGGGAAATAACCCAGAGTAGTAATATTTTTTGTATTTTAAATTCTACACTAGCAATTAGAAACTGTTAATAAAAATAGAGAAGGACCTTGCTTTCCGTAATTTTCTAAGTATAAACAGAAGCACTCTCTTAAAAGCTTTAAAATAACCTCTGTACAGGCAACGAAAAAAGGCTTCTATTACTTGGAAAGTGCTTTTGTCCCTCTGCAACCATTATTCACACATACAAAGTCACATTTGAATAAACCCAAATGACCTGCCTTACATACAATTCAATACTATTTATTTTTATATAGAATCCTTAATACACAGCATCAGAAAACACTTCACTGAGAGAATCAAGTGTTAGCTAAAGAGGAAAGGAAGCTTTTTGGGTGAAATTGTATAAGAAGAAATAGGGAAGACAGAAACAGCCAGTTTCAGATAGATGTGGATGAGTATGGGGGTTTGTCTACATGGGGACATTCAGGAAAATTAATCCCCACATTCACCACTCTTGTAAGGATATGATATATTTAGTATTAAGTATGCCTTGTGAGATATCAACTGAAAACTCATAGTCTGCAGAATATTATTATCCTGTTGCAATGTGTGTGACAACACTGCATGTAAAATTATGAGATTTTGCTAGATGATTGTTACTGAAATATGTATATGAAGGAGGGAAAATGT